CCCCCAAAGAAGAGATGTTAGACATGGGCATCTCAACATTTTCCAAACCCAACACCAGTGGAGAAAGAGAAGGAACTTTTTTTTAATTGTTTGGGATTGCTTGAAGAGACATTGACCACAGATATAAGTTTTCCCTTATATTATCTCTGTATTTACTTATTTACCTTTTTTATTTTTTTTTGTATTCACCTCCAGCTTAAGAATAAAACATTTCCAGTACCTTTAAGACCACAATATCCCTCTCCAGTTGCATCCCCCTCCCTTGCCTTCAGAGGTAAACCACTTTTCCTGGGTTTAGTGTTAACCATTTTATTGATAATTTAGTTCTCGTGAGTTCATATCTTAGAGTGGAGTTGCTAGGTTGAATGATAATTGTATGATCAACTTTACTAACTGCAATTAGGCAATGCCTAACTGTGTCTGAAAGTGTTTGAACTGATTTTTACTCCCACTAGTAGTGAATGAGAATTACCTTTTACTCCAAAATATTGCTGACACTGTGTTGTCTTCTACTTTTAGTTTTTTATCAATCTGTTAGGTGTGATAAGTGTGTCTCTGTGGTTTAATTTTAATTTCTCTAGTTACTAATAATTTTGAGCTACTTATGTGCCGGGGCCAGCTGGCACTAGCTCAGGAGAGCTGGTTGTGCACATTCCTTCTTAACTCCATTTTCAAAGACATCAGGTTGGTTGCTTGAAATCAGCCATCATGGGGCTATTTATACCCCCAAACTCTATAAACCATGGCTTTGCCCCTCACCCCAGATAATACTTATGAGCTAATATTTATGCATTTATTAGGCATTTGTGCTTCTATGTGAAATGCTTCTTCATATCTTTTAACCATTTTTCTATTAGGTAATTTGTCTTTTTTTTTTTTGTATTCATGTGTAGTGATCATTTGTATGTTCTGGTTTCTAATCCTCTATTACATTCTATGTTATAAAAAATCTTCTGAATTTATTGCTTGCCTTTTCATCCTGTGGTGAAATGAACAGTTGTTATTAATATTCATGTGCTTAAACTTACCAATATTTTCATTCGTGTGCTTTTTTAGAAGTCCTTCCATTCCCAAAGATATGAAGATTATTTTTCTGTATTCTTCTAAAAGTTTAAAACTTTTGATCCTTCTCTATGGTTTTATATTATTGTTTGAGATGGAGATTCTTTTCTTTTTCCTTTTTTTTCCTTTTTTTGGTTCGAAGTGAAGGGAATGACCAACTATCCCAGCACCATTTATTCAAAAACCTCTTTTTTCCTAATTGATCTACAAAATCAGCTCTGTCATATATCAAGAATTCACGTGTATGGATCTTTTTGAGGGTTCTCTATTCTCTTTCATTGGTCAATTTGTATATTCCTATGCAAATAACACACTGTGTTGATTACTATATCTGTTACTATAAATCTTGATCTGATCACTCTGTCTAATTCTTTTTCTTTAAAAGTATGTTGGCTACATAACCCTTTGATCTTTTATATGTATTTTAGACTCGTCTTATAAATTCCATCAAAAGAAAAATATGATTGGAATTTTTACTGAAAATGCATTAAATATATAGATTAATTTGGGAAGAATTTACATATTTATGACTGAGTCTTAATTCATAAACACCACTGAGAAACAGAAAGGTTGACTGCATGTGGCCAGAGAAGATAGTCTATAGGATGACAGCTTGAAAATTTGATGATGGTTGGTTCATGACTTGCTGTATGGCCAGTGTTTACTGTTGTTCACGGTGAAAAGAATCATTTGATAGTTTTCTATAGCCCAGTAGATCAGGGCTTCAGTTCTTCTCTAGTTACAGTAATTTCTTTGTCAGGGAATAGGTTAAAATCTCCCTTGTGGTCTTTTTTTTTTTTTAATTTTCTTTATATATTTTGAAATAATATTTTCAGCTGCATACAAGCTAGGAATTATGTTATCATCCTTTTATGAAAATGTTGTGACTCTTTAATCTGGCAGACTTCTCTTCCCCTTAATCCTTTTTTTTATTGATATTAAAATAGTTATACCAGCTTTCATGTGATGTTCACCTATGTATTTTTCCCACCCTTTTACTTTCAGCTTTTCAGTGTATTATATTTTGATTGTGTCTGTGGTAAACAACACATAATTGGATTTTCTTCCCCCATCTTACAAATGTTTGACCTTTAATTGGAAAGGTCTTTCCGTTTACATTCTTTTATTCATTAGTGCACTTGGCTTCATTTCCACCCTTTTATTTGGTGCATTTTATTTGTCCCAGGTTTTCTGGTTGGTTGTCATTTCTTGCGTCCCTTTTTTTTTTTCTTTTTTGGATTGGATCAGATTTCTCCTGCGTCACCCCACTCCCATTCCATTTATTTTCCTTTGCTGGTTTAGAAGTTATACACTGTTTCTAATTTTTAATGATTACCTTAAAAATATTTAACATCCAATTTTAACTTGAATTATAAAACTAATCACTAGCTTTCTCTTCTTCTAAATATTGTGAGGACTTTAGAACATAGGCCCAGCCATCCCTTTCTATTTAATTTCTATTTTTGCCGGTATTTTAGTTCTTTCTTGACTTTTAACATTATAAATTACTCTACTACAATTTATTTTGTGCAGTCAAACTCTGTTTAGATAGACCTTCATGTTTACCATTTTTCTTTGTTCAGTGTCCTGTCTTGTGTTTCAGACCTTCTTGCTAGAATTATTTTCTTTCTTTCTGAAGAACATCTTTTAGAAATAATGAGGATCTATTGGTAATATACTATTTTTGTTTGTCTGGAAACATGTTTATTAAACTCTTGTTCTTGAAATATATTTTTGCTACATTTAGAATGTTAAATTGGCACTGGATTTCTCTCAGTGTTTTTATTCCACGGTTGTGATATCATATGTCAGTTTGTCATTCGTTTGCTCTCTGTTGCTCCTTTTTAGATGGCTTTAAGATCACTTTATCTTTGGTGTTCAGCAAGTTGACTATAATCAGTCATGTATTGACCTATTTTTCGTTACATTGCTAGAGATTTATGGAATGAGCCTCCTGGTCTAAGGAACAGTGTCTTTCACCATTTCTGAAAAACCCTAAGCTGTTATCCTGAGCTATTTATTTCTCTGTTGTTATTTCTGGTCTCTCTTGTGTAGTTCAGATTGGATGTATGCTACATCTTCTTCTGGCTATTTCCCCCTTATCTCTTCTCCTCTTTTCATATTTTTCATTTTTATTTTTCTGCTCCACTATGAGGACTGTCTTTACCTCTGCCTTCCAGATTACCCATTCTCTTTTCACCTGTATCTAATTAGACTATAAACATATAAGCTGAGTTTCTGATTTTTGACTACATCTTTATTTTTAAGATTTTTTTATGTCATTCAGATCTATTTTGATGGTTTCTTGTTCCTTTGTTATGCTTTTACGTCTTACTTAATTCGTAAAACATATTAAGCATGCCTTTATGTTCTGTATCTGATCACTGTGGTATGTGCTGTCTCTGTGGGTCTGATCCTATCACTTGCTTCCTTCAGCTGACGTTCATTCATCGCAGCTTATTTGCTGTGGTCATGTCCTTTTGACACATTCAAGGTAGGAATTCTGTCAGATCTCAGTTTAGACAATATCCCCCTAGAAATCCCCCAGAAATTTTGTGTTTGCTTCTACCAGCCGAGAACCAATGTAAACTAAAATTGCAGCTTATGAAAGAATAAGCCACACGAGTAACAAGTTCTGACCTCAAGCCTGCATGAGTTGGGGCTAGTGGTTGGCAAGTAAGTTTTCAGGGGACACTTTCTTTAACCCATTCATCAGAGCCAAAATCAAAACCTTGTTTACTCCTTGAGGTTTGTTTCTTTCTAATTCACCCATTAAAGATCTCCTGTTTACCGTCTGTGCCTGATGAAACCCCAGACCGTAGGCCCCCGGGGATCAGCAAATGTCCTCAGACCAAATTGTGCTACAATGTACTCTGACTCCAGTGGTTCCCTCAGCATCACTGTTGCTTGTGGAGTTCCTTTACTTCTCTGGAGCTCAGCTTCACGCTGGGTTGTATTACATGAAATATGCGCGCCTGTCTTCCTCACGTTAGGTTGTGCCACACTAATAGGGGTTTCTGTCAGCATCTGCTAAACCATGTTGTCAAAAAACACCAGAAACGAATTAAAATGCATCGTACTGTAAGAATCAATAGTCATATGTAGCTTATTTCATAACGTTTGCAGCATCCCTGTGCAGTTTAACTTTTAAATATGTAATTAGTTAAGTGCCCACCCCGCCTCAATCAGAAGATATGCACAATAAGAGAGAAAATAAATGATGTATAAATGATATGGTAATGTTGGATAAGAGTTAGTAATAATAGGAGCCACTAATGTAAACTGGAAGGAATCTGCAGGATGTTCCTTTTGATGTGTCTGACCAGGAAAGTGTTCAGGAGCTAAGAAAGAGAATCACAGTACTTGACTGCCAGTTGAGAAAATCGGAAACGGCTCGGAAAACTTTTGAGGCATCCACTGAAAAGCTTCTTCACTTTGTAGAGGTAAATTTTCTTGTTCCATCACTTTATGTCCATTTTTGAGAATCGTATGGACGACTGAACAATATAGAGAAATGTCGAGGTGTTTGGTGGTTTGTGTAACATTCTCTGGGCTCAAACAGTTATGCTGACCTCCAGTCAGGATTTTAAATTGCTTAGATAATGGAAAGACTAGCTATCATACAGATTGTTAACAAAAATAACTGAGACAGGATAATACAATCCCAAGTGTGTACTATGTTTTAATGCACACTTTCTTAAAACTCTTGATAGTAAGTAAACATTAGTTGATAAATATTTACCCTATAAATAAGTATTTTATCTCTATATTATATTTCTGAGTATAATTGCACATTAATGTAATTGATTTTTTTTCCCTATGTAACAGAAACACCTTTTTAATCAATTTGGGGGGAAGGAGTTATAAATATTATTTAAGCAAAAAAAAAAACATTTGAAAAACTATCAAAGTTACATATTGCCTTCACTATCTTGTTTGCCTCTAGGCTATTCAAGAAGTACTTTCTGATAATTCTTCTCCTCTGTCAAATTTAAGGTAAGAAAATTTAAGCACTTTCTGCAGCGTATGGCCACTGATTTCATTTTCATCTAGTAATTGTGGCTAACATTAAAATCTCTTAAATAGTCTTAATATGCTACATGACTCCAACTGCGATGCTATTCTGTAATGTCTTGTGAAAATAAATAAAAGGACACATTTGTTTTTGACCCCATCTCTGTAAAAGAAGTTCCAGGAAGTATTTAGTCAATCCACAATAACATAAAACTTTAAAACTGAGATTAGAATTTCCTTATCTTAGAATTGTGTAAAGATGAACTGAACTTGAAGTTCGTTAAGCATCCTATATATGAATAAAAGTTACTATATACTAGTCATAGGTTCCCTGCTAAGTCAATCTCAACCCAGCAGAATTATGGCAAACAGAATTTTGCAAAACATGCTCATGCAATCAATGTCTTTCATTTTCAACATTTAGTAGATATAGAGAAAGAAATAAATTTGGAAATTTGATTTGTTATTATTTGCAGTTTGTTTCCGATTTAAAGTTTCTTGCTAGGAACTACAAACATACTAATAAGATTTATTTATTTCAAACTGCAAGCTTATGATCATTTTGATAAATGATGAAAGATACATACGAAAGAAAGATTCCTGTTTATATACTTTCTTTTTTTTTCTTTTCTTTAAATATGCTTTATTCTTGTAGAACAGTTTTCAGGTTCACAACAGGATTGAGCAGAAAATACAGAGTTCGCACATAGCCCTCCCCACCCACAAATGTATACTCCTCTACCCTCAACATCCCTCATCAGTGTGGCATATTTGGTTCAATTGATGAACTAACATGGGCACATTATTATCAACCAAAGTCCATAGTTTACATCAGGGTTCATTCTTGATGTTGTGCATTCTATGAGCTTTGACAAATGCATAATTTGTAGCCACCACTATAGTATCATACAGAGTAATTTCATTGCCCTAGAATCCCTTGTGTATCATCTATTCATTCCTCCCTCCCTCCCTCTCCCCAAACCCCTGGAAACCATGATCTTTTTATTGTTTCTATAGCTTCGCCTTTTCCAGAATGTCATTTGGTTGGAATTGTACAGTTTGTAGCCTTTTCAGACTGGCTTCTTTCATTTAATAATATGTCTTTTAAGTTTCTTCCATGTCTTGATAGATTTTTTTTTACTGCACATGTATTCTTTAATTTACATATATGTACTGTTCATTGTTTCTAAGAAGTTTAGAGCTTTAGCTTTCTAAACTTACATAGTTATTCAAAGGAATAAAGCCAACCACAAAATAAGAATTACCTCAAAAAGATACATACACCCTGCTATTAACAGTAATATTATTTATAATGGCCAAGATATGGAAGCATCCTAAGTGAACATCAAGAGTTGAATAGATAATGGAGATGAAGCATATATATATATTTATATGTAATGGAATACAACTCACCCCTAAAAAAGGATATTTTGCCATTTGTGGCCCTTCATTCACTTTTTTTTTTCACTTCAAAAACCAGAATTTCATAACTGGCAGAGACATTACAATTGCATAAAAAACAATGAAATACATAGAAATAAACTTAACCAAGGAGGTTACCTATATTCTGAAAATCGAAATGACACAAAGAAATGGAAAGATTTCTTGCACTCTTGGATTGGAAGAATCAACACTATCATAATGGCCACACTACCCAAAGCATTCCACAGATCCAATGCAACCTCCATCAAAATACTTGTGACATTCCTCACAGAGCTAGAACAAACAATTCCACAATTTATAAGGAACCACAAAAGACCACAGACAGCCAAAGCAATCTTTTGTAGGTCTTTCTCTTTTTTTTTTTTCTTTCTTCTTTTTGTTCTCTTTTCTTATGGTTTGATGACTTTAGAAGGCCCTTTAACATTTGTTGTAAAGCTGGTTTGGTGGTAAAATCTTTTAGCTTTTGTTTATCTGTTAAGCTTTTGATTTCTCCATCAAGCCTGAACGAGAGCCTTGTTGGACACAGTATTCTTGGTTGTAAGTTTCCCCCTTGCATCACTTTAAATATATGTTGCCACTCCCTTCATGCCTGTAGAGCTTCTGCTGAGAAATCAGCTGATAACGTTATGGGAGTTCCCTTGTATGTTATTTATTGCTAATTTTAATATTTTCTCCTTATCCTTAATTGTTGTCAATTTGATGACTATGTGCCTTTGTGTGTTCCTCTTTGGGTTGATTCTGTGTGGTACTCTCTGCGCTTCCAGGACTTGGGTGACTGTTTCCTTTCCCAAGTTGAGGAAGTTTTTGGTTATTATCTCTCCAAAAATTTTCTCAGCTCCTTTCTCTCTCTCTTCTCTTTCTGTGACCCCTATAATGCAAATATTAGAGCGCTTCATGTTGTCCTAGAGTTCTCTTAAACTATCCTCATTCTTTTTTATTCTTTTTTCTTTTTTCTGTTCTGAAGTAGTGATTTCCACTAATCTGTCTTCTAGCTCACTGATCTGTTCTTCTGCCTCTTTTAGTCTATTCTTGGTTCCTTCTAGTGTATTGTTCATTTCAGTGATTTTATTCTTCAACTCTGTTTGGGTATTCTTTATATTTTCCGACTCTTTGCTAAAAACTTCACTCTGTGCATCTATACTCCTCTTGAATTCTCTGAACATCTTGGCCATCGTTACTTTAAACTCTTTCTCAGATAAATTACCTATCTCCTCATCACCTATTTCTTCTGGGATTTTATCTTGTGCCTTGGCCTGGGAGATATTCCTTTGCCACCTCATATCGTCTATCTTTCTATGTGTTTGTGGATTCCTTCCACAGGCTTTGGGATTATTATTTTCTTATTTCTAGTATCTGCCCCTGGTGGATGAGGCTGGACTAGAGGCTTGTGCAGGTTTCTTGGCAGGAGGAGCCGGTGCCTGTCCACTGCTGGGTGAAGCTTGGTCCTGGACCTCTGGTCCAGGTGGGCAGGGCTGTGTCTAGAGGCCTTTGTGGCTTAGGAAGTCTGCTGGTGGGTGTGGCTGTGTTCCCACCCTGTGTGTTGTTTGGCCTGAGGCCTCCCTACAAGCTGTTGGGTGGGGCTAGGTCTTGGTGCTAATGATCCAATCAAGATGTCAGCCTCCAGGAAAGCTCATGTAGATGAACACTCCTGGAATGTCTGCCACCAGCTTTTATGCCCCCAGGGTGAGCTACTGCCATACCCCATGTCTCCAGGAGACCCTCCAAGTCCAGCAGGCAGGTCTGGCCCAGGTTCCTATGAAATCACTGCCTCTGCCCTTGGACCTGGTGCATGAGAGTTTCCGTGTACACTTCTTAAGTGAATGGAGTCTCGTTTTCCCCCAATTCTGTGAGGCTCCCAGAACCAAGCCCCTCTGGTGTTCAAAACCAGATGTCCTGGGGTCTCCTTCTCTTCCCAATGCCTGGACGCGAGCTGGGGAGCCTGGTGTGGGGCTTAGAGCTCTCCCTCCTGTGTGAGGGCCTCTACGACTTAACAAATCTTCAGCTTGTGGGCTGCCCACTGAGGGGGCATGGTCCCAATTATATAGCGAGCACACCCCTCCTACCGTCCTGCTATGGTTCCCTCTTTATGTGTCTAGTTGCAGAAGATGTTTTTTGCTAGGTTCCAGTCTTTTTATGATGGTTGTTTAGCATTCAGTTGTGGTTTCATTGTCGTCGCAAGGAAAGGCAAGCTCGTGGTCCTACCACTCCACCATCTTGACCGGAACTCCTATTCTGACTTGCTGTTTGTACATTTTCAAAGCAATTTTTTCCTCTTATAATGGCTGCCACTAGCAAGGTACTTCTAGCAACATGTGCTTGCAGAAACATAAAAAACTCTAGCCTTTACTATAAAAACAGCAGTTTAATAAATGAATTTGGGTCATTGTATTCTTATTATATTTTAGGTTTCCACATAGCATTCTTGAATTTAGAAGAATATCTATCATCTTACACTTTTAAACTCATTTTAATGTAATGTTTTATTTC